TTTTTTATAACATCAAGCCTCACAGCAACTCGTTATACTTTAAAATAGCATTTAAATACGCAAAATTTCTCAAGACACGATTAGAATGCAGTTACTTGTTAAATTGTTTGTAAGTCTTGAACCGTTTAATTGATTTAAATGTACTTTGTGACAAACTTGTACTAAATTAAATTATATATAACTTGTTCGAATAACATTAGACACTATTGCAACTCGGTATACTCTAAAATGGGTTGCAAACTTTAATACTATAATTGTCGATTTATTTGCACATGCACATCTTATGTCTTCTGTAACTTCTAAACTATTTGTGTAATTAAAATACAATGTTAAGAAAATTGTAGGATATCAAATAGTCAAATAAATAATTGAATCATTTATTGAGTTATAATTTTTTTTACTTACCTTTTAAGCATGTAAATAAAATTAAAAAGACAATTCAGCACAGACATCAGCAAATCTGCCAGGCTCAAATTACTAGAAAATAATTTTGTTACTGTCCTCATTCGTCTGTGAGCTGAAAAATAGAAAAAAATTGAAAAATATAATTAAAAATTAAAGAAAAAATTAAAAACATTTTTATATAATAAATCATATAAATGTAATATATTATATATGAAAAAGTGTAAACTAATTTTAGATTTATTAAGAACTTGAAAAAAACATGATTTTTTAACCAACTTTATTTATTTTTTTATTAAAAGTTGGTAAATAATTTTGAATTTCATAAATAGCTTTATTTTAATTTAAACAATATTTTTTAATATAATTTTTATAACAAAAAAATATATATTTTTTATGCATTTTGTTAAGAAATTTTTGGCTAGAAACTATTTTTCCAACTTGCTGAGATTTGATTTAAACAATTATATTATTTGTTTTCTATTATTATTTTTTTTATATTTAAAAAGTAGGTCGATCTTCAGACAAATATTATCATAATAGTCTAAAGAAAAAGATTTTCTTAATTTTTTTTACATAAGATTTTCATTTTCATTTGTCTTATGCGAAAAATTACTTCAAGTCTATTAACAGGCGAAAACGCTTTTATATTCATTTTTGGACTATTAAGCAATTATCTAATTAGATAAAGATAAAATCATACGAAAAAAATATGCAATACTTAATGTCTATATTTTATATAAACTTAATATCTAATATTAATTATTAATAATAAAAAAATTATTACTCTTAAATTTGCACCAGCATTTTTTTATGTGTAGAAGTTTTGTATGAAAGTTAATACGGTTTTAAAAAGTTTGTTTAATTTTAAAGTTGTGCCAACTCGTACAAAATTGCTTAACGTATAAAAATATTTTGACCTTAATAGTAGCTAAAACTGCTCTACTGATCTCAACAAAAATAGTTTTCGCGAGTCAACTCTTGCACGCTTTCAAAAATGTAAAACGCTTAATGCCTTTTGTCACAATTATGTAAATAATTCAAAAATGGCTTGACTGATATAACACAAATTTTTATCAGCACAAGTCGACATTCGTACGTATCGAATGGATTTTAAATTTTTAAAATCGGAGCACGTGTTCAAAATTTATACACCCCGAAACCCAAAAAGTACAATACAGTCCATAGTTGCACGCTTTCAAAACCCAAAATGTTAAACACGCCTGGTGCCTTTTGTCACTATTATGCAAATAGCTTAGAAACGGCTTGACTGATCTGAACACAAATTTTATCATTACAAGTCAACATTCATACGAATCGAATGGTTTCAAAATTTTTAAAATCGGAACACGCGATCGGAATTTATACTCCTCCAAACCCAAAAAATTACAATACAGTCTTATTCATCATTGCACGCTTTCAAAAATGTTAAACACGCCCAGTGCCTTTTGTTTTTATTATGCATAAAACTTAAAAACGGCTTGACTGATCTGAACACAAATTTTATCAGCACAAGTCAACACTCATACGTATCGAATGATGTTTAAATTTTTAAAATCGGAGTACGGGTTCAAAATTTATACACCCCGAAACCCAAAAAGTACAATACAGTCCATAGTTGCACGCTTTCAAAACCCAAAATGTTAAACACGCCTGGTGCCTTTTGTCACTATTATGCAAATAACTTAGAAACGGCTTGACTGATCTGAACACAAATTTTATCAGCACAAGTCAACATTCATACGTATCGAATGGTTTTTAAATTTTTAAAATCGGAGTACGGGTTCAAAATTTATACTTCCCCAAACCCAAAAAGTACAAAACAGTCATCGTTGCTCGCTTTCAAAAATGTTAAACACGCCCTGTGCCTTTTGTCACTATTATGCAAATAATTTAAAAACGGCTCGACCGATCTGAACACAAATTTTATCAGCACAAGTCAACATTCATACGTATCGAATGTTTCATAAATTTTAAAAATCGGAGTGCGCAATCAAAATTTATACAGCCCCAAACCCAAAAAATACCATATAGTCTATCTATTACCATTTCTTAGAAACGGTTCGGCAGATCTCGACAAAAATTTGTATCCCATTACTCAACACCCACAAGTATGAAATGGCATCAGAATTTTTCCAAAATTTTTGGTTTCTCACCTATAACTATCCACATAACTATGGCGTTTCCTCCGACTGCTATAAAAAGCATGAAGCCAAAGGCCGAACTCCAGGCTGCTTGGGCCGAATTCGACATGGCCCAAGGTGGAGGGCCATGGCCACATCTGTATTTGTGGCAGAAATGTCTAAAAATCCTTAGACAGGTTGTAGACATCTGGGTAAAACTGAAAAAAAAATAGAAAAATAGTACATGAATAAAAGTGAAAAAATATGTTTTGGTAGCTAAGTTGTTGAAGGTGTTTTCGATATAAGAAGCTATTATTGGCTGTTCTATTGGCTACAAATTTTCCATTTTTACATCATTAATATTAAATGCCTTACTCACATTTTTTTCTTTTTTATTATAATTTCAATAAATTTACAAAACAATTAAATATGTACAGCAAACCCAAAGAATTAAAACAAGTATTCATGATTTTCCGTTTAATTTATTGTAACTATTTTGAATTCAAACAAAAGAGTCAAATATGAATAGAGAACATACATAAATGCCATAAAAGCTTATTTATCAATTTTATCAATTCATCAAACCGATGTTATCTTAGTTCAACCTAAAAAGTTCGTTATTTTATTTTAAATTTTAAAAATTACTAAAAGCCAAAAAAAATATTACTGAAGAGTTTTATAACCTTAGTAATGTTGTCAGAAATTATTCCATGTTTCTCTCTTTTATTTAAAATGAATAAAAATATGATACTGCATATAATTGAATTGCTATACCTAAAATGATTTACGATTTTATACATAAATGCACTTCAACAAAGTATGTATGATTACATTTACTCTTCGACGTCGATTTTATAGTGTACCTTATTGTTACTAAAGAATGAAATATCGAACTGAAAGTCGTTTTATTCAAAACTTTTATATCGGATTGTATAAAAGTGTTCTCTAGAAAATGTTGCAAATTGTATCTAGTTTCACCCTATCTAACTGAAAGGGGGTAGTTTCATATGAAATTTTTGAGTTGTTTGACAAAAACCAAAAAAAAATCCCAAACTTCCTGTATTTATCC